TATATATATATATATATATATATATATATATATATATAAATATATATATATATATATATAGAGAGAGAGAGAGAGGAGAGAGAGAGGAGAGAGAGAGAGAGAGAGAGAGAGAGAGAGAGAGAGAGAGAAGCAGTTGGTCTTTACGTAAAATCGTTCAGTTGAAAGTCTACTCATCCAGATACGATTCTCATTCATTACAAGAAGGAAAATTAACATATTAAAAATGGGAAAACTTCAAACAAAAAGTATCTACGCCATACACGGTGATTAAATGTATGAAATAAAAGAACAGAATGGGCAACGTTGAATTTAACTTTCAAGTTATTTAAGTTGTCAGCTTAAGATGAAAGTGGGATGTTATACTTAGGGACAAGACCCATACTGTTACAAATTTTTTTTCCTTCGACAGGGAGATCATAAATTAATGTAACACTTTTGAGGCTGGAGCAACCCTCCCACACTGCCATTCCTTTTTGATCTGCGCGAACTTTAAGGAACGGGCAAGACAGGTAAGCGAGCCCCATTCCTGAATTTTGACATTGTTGCAAACGTCTACACAAGTGTTTGCCTTTTTTAACTATCGGAAATTACACAGATCAAGCGCATTTCTTTTCATAATTATTTTATTAAATGGTGTTGAAATTATAATTATTAAAAAAAGAAAAGAGGTCACCAAGAAGTTTAGAAAAGAGGCCAAATTTGAGGAATCTGAGCTTGAGAAGACTAATATAGCAAACCTGAAGTTTTGGCGCCCCAGGCAGTTTAAAATTTTGCCACCCCTTTCTCCTACAAATTTTCAGGTTGATATTAACTGTAAATAATTTAAACGGCGCTGCTAGAGTAGACAGATTTTAACAGGCACAAAAATTAAAATATGTCTTTTTCTGCAAAGTATACAAATTTGCTTGAAAATTAAATGGATTTTATTGTATATGCGTAACATTGACAAGAAAAAAACTCTACTTCGAATATGCAGTGACTGTACAATTGATTTTAATAGCTATTACATACTACTCGTCAAAAAATACTGCATGCAATGCGTGAACTTCCCATCTACTAAAGTTACTTGACAAAACATGCATTCAAGAAACGCACTTTATATGCATCCCCATAATTGCGCCTCCCCCCCCCCCCCACACACACAGGTGCGCAATCGCACACTTTTTTTTTCACGTCCCTGAACTATACTATATTTTAATATCTCACCCCTTTTTATACCAAATACTGCATGCAATGCGTGAACTTCCCATCTACTAAAGTTACTTGACAAAACATGCATTCAAGAAACGCACTTTATATGCATCCCAATAATTGCTCCTCCCCCCCCCCCCACACACACAGGTGCGCAATCGCACACTTTTTTTTTCACGTCCCTGAACTATACTATATTTTAATATCTCACCCCTTTTTATACCTCAGATGCATAACACCATATTTAAATGAAGGCTGCTTCCGTAAAATATCATGAAACAGACGCACATGTGGTATTTTTAAGAATCTCATTTAGCGCAGTATCGGTAATTTTAATTAGTTAAATCGGCGCCATTTGGTAGCGTTAGCGACAATAGAGAATTATATAAAAGTAAAGAATTATGTTTTGATGATTGATATTAATCTACTATTTCTACAAAAATGTTTTTGTTTTTTCCTTTTTTGTGTGGCTCCTTGTGGCTATTTGGATGGAAATATAGGAGTGAAAACGTCATTTTAAATAAACAGCTAAGTCGAAGATGTGAGCCTTTCCTGGTTATTAAATAGGTTTTAATAAATTTTAGTTTAGAAAAAAACATCTTTCTCCAGTTGCAACGCAACGCTGGCTGGAATTGTCAGCGAAATTCGAAGAGAAATGGCTATATTTAGAAATGTATTCAGACATTGTTAAGGCTTTTAAAGTATAAGAGCGTTCAGTGGTGCTTTCTCGCATGGCAGCCTAAGTAAACTAGAAATATTTCTGTAATAATTCAAATGAATCTGTTTCAATATACATGAGGCTGTGATTCACAGTGGAAATTTCAGATCACAACGAATCACCTAGAAACATCTCATTGTCCTTAAGATTAATAATTAAGTTTGAATTTTTTTTTAGGAAAATATAATATTAAGCAATCTTTATGCAAACAGTAAACATTACAGCGTCACAAATGCCTGTGAGTGAACCGTAGTATTTTATGTAAATTTCTCCAACACATTATAAACCCAAGACGTTCAAAATGGCGAAAAATCCACATATACATTATGGAATTTTTGTTTGTATGTTCATAAAAAATTCTTTAAAAAAGGGCTATACGCAGAATTAAACAAACTGTAAGAAATATTTTTATGTACAATAAGGGGCGTAGCTAAGGTTAGTGCCTACCGGGGCGTGCCAATATTTTGATCACCTTTACCACGAAAAAGAAGTGCAGTTGACCGAAAATGCCGCCCCTCCATGTGAAGAAGAAAGTACCACAGGGAGGGGGGCGCGCGCTCCCTCCGCCCCTTTCCTAACCCACTGAACACAACATAAACTCGTGTATTTTCATTATTGTTTTGTGATTTTTATACATATACGTGTAAATGTATGCTCGTTCTGATTGTTTTATAATTTCTTCTTATTTTTAATCTTTATATGTCTTCTTCTTTCAAATTACTGTTCATGCTAATCATTCTGGCTGCAATCATTGCTCGAAATAGCACCAATTTTCCTTTGGTCCCAAGGTTTTATGATATTCACAGGTTCTGATTCTGATTCTTCAGAAATTGAGTAGAGACCCAAAAATTACTGAGGAATATCAACAGAAGATTGAAACTTAACTAGAATTATCCAAAAGGGAATCAGCCAGCAATGGGAAAAGATGGTGCAAATAGTTAAAAGTGTAACATAGGAAACGATTGGATTTAAAGTGGCAGTGAAAAGAACAGGATGGTATGACGCAGAATGCAAAGAACTTATAGAACAAAGAAATAAAGCTCGGCTAAGGGAGACAAGAAGTATACAATAATATAATGAAGCAAGAAGGGTAGCCAGCAAAATTTGCAGAATGAAGAAACGTGTTTGGGAAAAATAAAAAATAATAGAGATAGAAGAATTGGCAAAAGAAAGAGATGTGAGGGGAATGTACCTGAAGATGAAGCAGGCTTCAATGGCTTTCAAGCAAGATCCCACATGTGTGAAATTACGGATGGAGAATTGATCACAGAGAGCATTAGAGTACTAGAGAGAATGGCTCAGGTGTAGGAACTAATTAGGATTACGTTCCGCCACAAGGAGGACCGGACCCGTTGGTCAACCAACCAACATTAAATAAAATAAAAGATGTAATCTCCACCATGAAAAATAGGAAAGCCCCAGGAATAGACCTTATTTCTGCAGAACTGATAAAGCTAGGTGGTAACGAACTGCACAGACAAATACATGAACTTACATCCAGAATCTGTCAGGAGGAAGAAATGCCAATTGAATGGAACACGGCACTCATAATCTCAATTCACAAAAAAGGTATCTAAGCTAATCTGCTCGAATTATAGAGGAATCTCCATTCTTAATGTAATGTACAAATTCCTCACAAAACTTATAGTGAGAAGACTGGAAAAGTATAGAGAACAGATCCTAGGGCACTATCAATGCGGATTCCGGCAGAATATGTCAACCACGGATCATATTTTTACTATAAGATGTCTCCTGCAGAAATTTTACGAATATAACATCGACATACACCAACTATATGTGGATTATAAAACAGCATACAATAGCGTAAACAGGAATTACTTATGCAACGCTCTACAAGAACTTGGAGTCCCTAACAAGCTTACTCGGCTCATACATAATGACAATGGCCAACTCCAAAAGTAGAATCAAGGTGCTGGGAGAATACTCTAGGGAGTTCCCAGTTAATCGGGGCCTCAGACAAGGAGACTCATTATCATTTATCCTGTTTAACATCACGCTAGAAAAGGTTATTAGAAGCATACACGTGAGCACCAGTGGAACCATAACAAACTACTTCCAGAGAGGTATTACAGAACAAAAACCTTCAGAAACCTTATATAGCCAACCATTGCAGTACCTGGCATATGCAGACGATATAGCGCTACTGGGTAGAAACCGTAATGACATAATTAAAGCATTCAGGGAACTTGAAAATGCCTCAGTCAAAGCTGGTCTTGATATAAATGAACCGAAGACAAAATATATGATAATGTCAATAAACTCCCATGCTGATGATAACATCAATATAAACAACCACAAATTTAAGAGAGTGGCTACATTCAAATACCTAGGGGCAACTATAAACGAGCACAATGAGATAATAAGAAAGGATAACAGCAGTCAGCCGTTCCTATTTTAGCTTACAAAAACTAATGGGAAGCAAAAACCTCTCAAAGGGAACAAAGAAGACAATATACACCGCGATCATAAGACCAGTAGTAACGTACGCTAGTAAGACTTGGACCCTTACTAGAAAAGCAGAAAACCTGCTCAACACATGGGAGAGGAAAATCCTCCGAAAAATATACGGCCCAGTGATAGAAAATGATATCTGGAGAATTCGTACAAACCAAGAACTTTACCATTTGTACAAAGACCCACCCATAGTCAAAATGATAGAAAAAGGCATACTACGCTGGGCAGGACATGTTGAAAGGATGCCGGAATGCAGAGCAGCCAAAGTTATATACAGGCAGAAGCATAGGGGCAGACGACTCATCGGTCGCCCAAGGCTGAGATGGATTGATGATGTGGAGAAGGATATACACCAGTTGGGGGTTCGCGCATGAAGGCGAAAAGCCATGGATCGCTTCGAATGGAAGAATGTGGTGGAGCAGGCCAGGGCCCTACTTGGGCTGTAGCGCCACTGATGATGATGATTCTGATAGACTACGTTACTGCAACCAAGTACTGGCATATGTGCAACGGTCTGGGAAACGATGCGGCTATCTTGACCGCTCCTAGCGGGTGCCAGGGCAGCCTTGAAACTCTTGATTGATGACCAGTCCACGGCGGCATCGTCCAGTTGATTCCAAGCAATTATTGTTCGTGGGAAGAATGATTGTTTATATTGAACTGTGTTACACCGAGGCACAGTGAAGCATTTATCATTGTTCCGGTGTAACTGCTCATGGAGTTGTCAGAGGTGAAGTCAGTGTTTATTGAGCGTTTGGCTCTGATTAAGCGATCTGGCTTCTGCGGGGTTAGATACGTGTTAGCTGGAATGGCCGGCACTAGCCCCGTGACCTCTTTATAGAGAAATGTTTACGGAGCTTTTCTCGTCCGTCATTGAGGGAGGGGATGTCAAATCTTTTTTAAGATGTCAATGACGCAGCCAGGAGTGTTGGATTTGTAGTCACTTGCGATGAAGCGCACTGCGTTGCGTTGTATTCGCTCCATTTTGTCCACGTCTTGCTTTAGGTATGGGTCCCAGATTATCGTACCATATTCTAGAAGTGGACGGACGAGTGCGAGATAGGCATTTCGTTTGCAGGATGGTGGGCAGTGGCGCAAATTTCTTCGAATGAAACCAAGCGTGGAGTTGGCTTTTTTAAAATTTTGTTTATATGGCGTGACCATTTTAGATTATTCGGGAATAGAATTCCAAGGTATGGATTATTTGATACTTGTTGGAGAATTGTCTTGTTTAGAGAGTACATTTAGGTTCAAGTTTTTTATTCTTGACATGCGCATTGTGTAGGATTTGGTTTCGTTAAATTTCATGCCCTATTTTTCCGCTCATTTCATAAGGCATTTCAAATCTGCTTGGAGGAGGTTGTGGCCATCGTAGCCATTTATCTCTCTGTAGACAAGACATTCATCTGCGACTAGCCTCACTTGAGATTTTACAGTATCAGGGAGGTCTTTTATAGGACAGAGAAATAGAAGGGAGCCCAGCACTGTACCCTGAGGAACTCCTGAGTCTACGGTTTTCCAATGATGTGAGGGATCTGTGGATCAAGATCAAGACGACGACGCCTTTTGTTGCGCGTTCCTCTGTGCCGGTAAAATACTACAAATGATCACATTATTTTCTTTACAGAACTGAACGTTCTTATTTTTAGAAATGAAAACAAAACAAAAAACAAAAACAAAACAAAAAAAAAAAACAAAAAAAAAAAAAAAAAAAAAAAAAAAAAAAAAATTAATAAATGGGAGAGTTTATATTTTTTAAAAATACATCAAGACAGTCTGATCTGCGTCTCCCAACATTAAAAAAAAAAAAAAAAAGAAAAAAAGAAAGGTAACAGTTCGGATCTGTAAAAAAAAAAAAAAAAAAAAAAAAAAAAAAAAATAAAAAAAGGGAGAAGTTAACTTTTTCTAAAATAAAACAAAAAAATCTAATCTGCCTCTACCAAAAATAAAAAAAAAAAAAAAAAAAAAGAAAAAAAGAAAGGTAACAGTTCGGATCTGTGCTTTAAAAAAATATTTTAGATCATAACATCATTTAGTGAATTCCATGAAACTCATTAATTTACTTTATATAGTTCAAGGCGATTTTTTGTTCGACCTTTTAAAATGAACCCTTTAGCGTCCAGAGTGATCACGATTTGACGAACTCTTTTGGCTCCCGGGGCCTTCACCTCTGTCATCATTCTCCAGGCACGGTCCTGAATACTTTAGTCTACTAGAAGATTTGAAGCAAAACAATGCACAATTTGAGAAAATAAGATGTCACTTTCAATAGTATCAAATTATCTTGTGAACAGTGGCGTAAGAAATGTGGGGCGGAGGCATGGGCGCCCGCAGGTAGGGGCATGGGGGGCACTTGCCCCCCCTGGATTGATTGGATAACATTTTTTTAGACAAAAATTGACAAAAAATGTATTAAAGTAAAGAGAAAATAAAGAGAAAGTAACTAAGCTGATGTCATGTCCGTTCGTTCACCATACAAATACGCTACATTAAATTAAAACTATATTAAAACATTACTAAAAATTTTTTGCCCAAACCCCTTGGAAAGTTAATCGATTTTTTTGCCCCCCCCCCCTAGAAAGTTTTCTGCGGGCGCCCATGGGCGGAGGGGGGTGATCCGCCCCGTGCGGCAACTTTATTAATTATTTGGACGGACGGCATTTTCGGCCAACAGTAGATTTTTTTTAGTGGAAGGGGTGCGGCAAAAATCTGGGCCAGCCCTGGGTGAAACTAAACTTAGCTATTCCACTGCCACTAAATGCATTTAACATATTAAACTAACGTCTGGCGTCCACCATCCTTGTCTTATGAGGTACAGTGACCTAGGAATGGGTGCTGAGGGTCGGTCCGCCCCTGGCGGCACTTTTTTCTTTATATGAGGGTTTGCATTTTTGCAAACTGCAGCGGTTTTTTTTTTTTTGTATGTGGAAGAGGACTGCTAAGCCTTGGCCTGCCCCAGGTGGCACTAACCCTAGAGACGCCACTGGTAATGGGCAACCGTTCCATTGAAATTAGCTGCTGCGCACGCATAACGGCATGGGGCAAAGGCATAAGAGGGGTACAAATACAAGATAACGTTTTGTTATCATCTGATTTTTAACAAATCGAAAATTCTTTACCAATTAATTATGCATATGTTATTTTAATATTTGAAAATAGTTCACAGTAATCTTATGCATTGGTTTGATTATTTCAATAAATGCTAAACTAACATTAAATTTGGCCCTGCAATTAAAACGAAAGATTTCCGATTATATCCGAAAATAATAATTATTATTCACGGTAGGTTCCAACATCCGGGTCTGTCAATGGCTGGTCACGTGATTCTATGATCGCCGGCGAACTGTCACACGTGTGTATATTTGTCAATTTGAAGACAAATTAGAAATTATATTCCCAAAGAACTTTATGTACCTTTGCAAATTACAACACCGAAGTCTGCGTGAGTGATTGTAGTTCAAGGCTTTGTAGGTAACAGCCTAAAAATGGGCATTAAAGATTTTCAGGAGTTCTTGGAAACTGAGTGTTCCAGTGCTTGTGTCTCAGTTGACTTGTTGAAAATCTCACGAGCCTTTGTTCCTAAACGGCGGTCTATTGCACGAGTTGGGCAGGTGGGAACAAGCGGACGGTTCTGTGTTGTTGTTGATGCAGAAAGTTGTTTAGATAGATTATATGGTGGGTACTTCTCTGACTGGGTTTGTGGTGGACAATGGAATCGCATGACTTCGTTTCTTGCAAACCTGGTGCAAGCTTGCCACAGTGCCAACATGGAACTGGTTGTGTTTTTCAATGGAGCCTTAGAAAATCAAAAAATCAACGAATGGATGTCACAGCAGCTAACTCAGCGGGACAAAGTCCGTTATGTATTAAGACATATTGCAAACAAAGGAACACCCCCTCCCAAAGTGTGGTGGAACCAGCCAGTCTATCTAAAAGAATCACTAAAAATGGCCCTGAGACAGCTAGGAGTAACAATTGCTTGTTCAATGGATGATCATCATCAAGAAGTAATCAGGTTTTGTCGTGAACATAGTCTGCAGGGCATTATTGCCCAAGAATCCATTTATACAATCTTTGATCCACCTAGATACTTTTCATCAAATAATCTGAAACTCACTTACAAAGGCTCATTGGAAACCAAAGAATACATCATGGATGAAATTGCAAAGTGTATGAACTTGAATCCAAATAGATTTTGCATTTTTGCAGCACTTTTAGGTAAGAATAATATTGAACTAGACCTACATAAAAGACAGTGTCTAGGCCTGTTATATATATATAGATAATGCATAGCCAATGCATGTTTCAGTTTCAACATTAAAATTTAGGCGTTAGAGTATGACTAGACCTAGGCCTAGACATTTGTAATTTGTTGTATGGGCTATATATTATTAATTATTCTATATACACCAGGGTGGCCAGCTATAAACATGGGATGATTGGTTATGTTAGTAAAATCAAATACGAAGTGTCTACACGTCCGTCGTGCCAGACAAATAGTGCGGGAGATATACGTCTGGCGGGCATGTCACGTGACCGCCGGACTAGTAAGCGTTATTATTCCGGCAGGTCATGTGACAAGTGGTCGCCGGCAAAATAGTTGCATTGCATTTGATGTTCAGATCCCTAGGTAATAAATAAATGCTGAACATGTTAATATATTCAAATGCTCTGAGATTCATAAAATGTTTGACTGAATATTAAACTAGTCGGCCTATATACTAACTAGTATTACTATTACTAGTCTATTTGATTCGACTCTTCAAAGAAAAATTTAAACAAAATTTAAAATATGAACAAAATAAAATAAGACCAGTAGACTTCAATAGACCTATGTCAATAAAGTTTATTTCAGGATTAGTATTTAGTATTGCATGAGAAGTGGGCTAGGCTACCACTATATCTGCCCTATATTAAGATGTAGGGTATATTTCTTTGTCAACTATCGGCCTCCCGGCCTTAAACTTTATTATTTATCACCCTCGCTATTATTTTTTTAGCATTCGTTTTTTTTATTACTGTAATTCCCTCTCGGCATTGCTTCCTTCCAGTATGCATTATTACTTAACCCCCACTTCGTTTTGGTAATATACCCAAGTATTTTTTCTATTATTTGTTTGCAAGGTACTCGGTAAATTACTTGGTATAGAAATAGATTTTAAAATTAACAATAGTTTTGAGTCATTCGCGGTCACGTGACAAGGCTGACAGACAAATATCTCGCACCACTTTGTTATGGCGGTCATGTGATTTGGTCGCCGGACAAATATCTAAAGTATTCTTCCGGCAGTTATGTGGCATGGTTGCCGGACAGATAGTGCGGGAGATATGTGTCCGGCCGCCAGACGTGTAGACACTGCCAATAAAAGATTTTTTTGTATAGATAATAATCTACATTTAGGCAGGTTAAGACAAGATAATCTGTAGCCAAATCCTACTTATCGTTATTTCAAGGCCTTAAACTATATTATTAGATATAGTAGAGACATCGAAGACAACGGACCTATCAATTCCACTCCAACTGCTCAGCAAGATCATGAGTGGTCTGGGAGTTTTTCCACAAATCTAAGTGGGAGGGTCCCTGAAACTGTTTTTTAGGTTTAGGTTTAACTTTTGCTTAAATCATTTATTTGTATTTAGGTATTTTTAATTTTATTTTCTTCTAGTTTATTTGATGTAAATTGATTAGATAAAGAGCCTTCATTTAAAATGGAGTTGCGTCCCCTTGCTTGGGCGCAGGGAGTAGACAAGGCTGAATAGGCTTTGACTGTAAAGGGTTAAGAAACCGGGTTGAAAATATATACACTCCGGTAATTTTTCAGTTAAAATAATTAAAAAGTACATTTTTTGTTTATTGGTTTTAAATTTGCTACCAGCATTCAGCAGTGAATGGATCGAGAAATATGATTGGTTAGGGACCATCTATAATTAGGCCTATTTTACGTTTGCCCTGAGAAGGGAAGACAGTGGTGGTGTTTTAGATCTTAGATGTATGGGTATGCTGAAGGGGGGGGGGGTCCTGAATATTTAAGTCTATAAAATAACACCACCAAATTTTCTTAATGATTGTGCTAGTGTTGATGGTCCTATTGTTGCTTTGTGTGTTTTCATAATTAACTCACTAGACATGGCAACAGTAATATAAGCGTAGTCGCCTTAGTTAATTTTAGTCAACCCTCGCTTTTGTTTTCTTGGGTGCTATAAGACATAATTAGTTCATTGACTCCATATGGTATAAACCGCTGTGAGTACAGAAACGAAGAATGCATTCTCAACTGTTCAGTGCAGCAAGTTGGAGAGACATTTTAAAGGATGAGAGGGATTTGAAATCCATTTTTAGAACGCACAAACCAACTGTACGATTAATAATAGCTCAGTCCAACAGTCCTCTTCCTTTCACCCATTTACAGCTTGTGAGAGCTATCAGCCTATAATTATAAAATATTGGCGGGAAATAGGCTTAATGGGTATTAATTGTTTTATTTTCTGACTACAGATTGCAATATAACGTTGGTCATCTACTTTCAGAAATGACCCTTTTTGACACCAGCTTAACACGATCACACTAGACACATGAAGAGAGTAGTTATTGTTTACATTGTATATACTGTATGTTTATTTATTTACTAGTAAGATGCTGTATTGTAAGATTTTGCAACAATGTTTAAGCGTTTAGAAGTTCAAAAGTAAACAGGTTTGCATTAGACCTAATAAATGGCAACTGAAGACAAAGTAAATCAACAAAAACCCATTTCCCATTCATTGCCCTGATCCCTACTAAGGTTAAGCCAGCCTAAGTCTAAAGGGTCATCCATAAATGAAGTCACATCAAGAGGGTTTGTGCTCATGAATTTATGAGGATGTTTTAATTTTGTAAGTGTTTCTAAAATTTGTGATGGGGGTGGGAGGGTTGTGTAAAAATAGCAGAAATATGAAGAGATGATAAACTGAGTAAAATAAAGTGCAGCCAATTTTATAAGGGATTAAAAAACTTAAAAAGTTTTATGCATTTCAAAAGGTTAATGCAAATTCATTGCAAGTAACTCTTATTGCTTTCTTTGTTTAGGAAATCACATCCTTACAGATGAAGATCTTGTTCCATTTAGAGAGCTAATGCCTACTTCAGACACTGGCAAACCAAAGGTTAGTAATCTGCAATATAAATCTTAAACTTGAGAAATTATGATATACAGAGTATTTTTTAAGGAGATGAGGCATTAATTAATTTTTCATACTCTCAACCCTCAAAGACTAATAAAGCAGAAAAATCATACAATACATATAACTTCGTAATTTGACTGTACCAGTAAATAACAATTTATGGTAAATATAATTTTACCCAAATAAACATTTTGGTGCGAATCCTTTTATAATGTACACAAACATTGTATTTAAATTGAATAAAACTTAACCATTTATAAATAGGTCAAACAAATCAGCCATTCTGGGGATCAAAACAAACAACATTCCCTGTAACCAGGTCATTTTAAAATCAACTTAGCCTACAAGGCAATGAAAATCTAAAGAGACATTTACGGGTTAAAATTTTGTTACAAGGTTCTGGCCATGTTAATTATTGCTTCGATTTGAAACTTTACAATAATTCTAAATTTAGAGGATGAGGATCACAATGATTCAACCCATTAAAAATATGTCACCAGACTAAGATGGAACCCAATTTCTGTTTTAAGGATAAGGCAAACCGAGAGACATTGCTTAATATTTATTACTATGAATTTTAATTTTCAGCAACTTTCATTGTGTTATTCATATTGCTTTGCAGCAAGATCATAACTTTCTATTTTAACTCATCATTTTACCCTGTCCTAAGACAGTAATTATGCCTATAAAAATTATTAAATGGTATATTAACCTTTCCAGGAAATAGTGGCACAAGGTAAGTTAAAGCTTGAAATGAAAATAAAGGACAATCACCGGATAACTTTTCAAGTAGAAACCTTCTTCAGAAGACAAGACAAAACAAGAAACAACATAGAATTAGAAAAAAATTGAAAATTGAAACCTAAGTGAGGAGCTCTCTGTGTTGCAGAAGTAAATTGTAGTAGTAACGGAAGGGCTCTATTAGAGACAGAAGTTATATTGTCCAAAACATTTGTACTCTCACAGAGCACTTCAGTTTCTGCCATAATCATAATATTGCAATCCAACTGGGCAAAATTTCACTTTATTAAATATCTTCATTCTATAGTTAGATAAGTTCAACATTAGTTATCCTTTTAGTTAAGACTTACAGGCCTCCATTTTATTTTTTATTTATTTTTTTCTCCTAGTGTGTTTCTAAATTTTCTACTTTAAATAATGAGTGGGCATTTCGTTAAACCTGGGATTCTCTTTAAATGAACATGAAATGATGAAAAATGTTTCCGGACCTCTGAAGTTTATTGATGAGGTTTGAGTCCTGATTTTGTTCTTTTCTATTGCTCATTTGTCTGCAACAATATTTAAAACTATTAAAATAAATTCTTAATAACAGAAGTGCTCTATTAGAGACAGAAGCTAGTTTTCCATAACCAAAACAATGGTATTATCACAACAATTCCATTTTTTCTATTTCCTTCTCCGACACAAAGAGCTCCTGAAACTTAAGTTTTTAATTAAATTTTAATACTTTGTTGTTCTATGTTTTGTCTGTCTGCTGAAGAAGACTTTCTAGCCGAAACATCTTCGTGATTGACCTGTCTTTTCTTTCATTTCAAGCCTTATCATTCCTATTCCACTACTTCTTCATCTACTTCTTTCACACAGCTGCAGTCCCTCATATATTAACAATTCAAATTTCTTTTTTTAAGAGAAATAGAGAAAAGGTTGATGCTGAATTAATAAAGGCTACATGTGATTATGTTAGGAATTTACCTGCTGTTGACAACTTAGAAGTTGTTGGAGCTGATGCTTTCAAGTAAGGACTACATGTCTTGGGACTATTATACAGTATGGCAAAGCCATAATTTATTATTTCTATTACCCATTGTATGTACATATTTGTGTAAAGGGCTCTACTGGTTTGAAATTTTCTGTCGGGTACTAGTTCCCAGTATTTCATAGTTTTTTCCTAATTCAGATACAAATTTTTATAACCTGGATATTTTCCAATTGAAAAGCTTTTTAGTTTTACTTTGAGGGTTTTACTGATTTGGATTATTTTGATTTTTTTAGTGAAAAAATATAATACCTGCAAAAATATCTAAATTTAACTGAATCACTATAAAATGTGCTTTAACTCTTTCCCTGCGGAACAAAGCACACTGCGTTCATCCTCCGTTCTCAAAAGCACGGACAAACGCTCTGAATTGTTTCAATATCATGTTTGTTATTTGCTATTTCTCGGTTAAACTTTTAAAGAGCTATTTTAAAATAAGACTTTCACATAGAAGAGTGGTACTTCGTTGTTTACAAGCAAAACCAAGGTTTATTTGTTGTCATTTGAAGCATTATTTTAATGATTTTCTTTGCTATTTTTTTCTACTATTGCTATGGCTATTCTAGGCCCTAGTAGGTGAGTACGTTTCCTAGACGATTAACATCTCAAAGAGCTTTGGAATTGTTTTATACTATTTATTTTGATAGTGAAGATAATTTATATTTAGATCCAGCAGATGATTCCGATAGTAGTAGTTTTAGAGGATTTGAGTTACAGAAGTGAAGTATGCGTACATCATAGGAATTGGAGAAAAATGGTTTAGCAAATAATGATTTCACATTTTATGATTCTTTTCTGTAACTTATTTAATTTAAACTAAAGAAATAAGTTAACAAACAAATTCTTTTGAATTATCTTTCATTTGATACCAAGTTTAGTCTTATGAATAAAAACATAATATTTTAAATATTTTTTTAATAAACCCAATCTCTCACTCTTTTTTTGCTCTTAAAAAAATAATGTACATTTTTTCGATAAATTATTTTCCGCAGTGAAAGAGTTGAAAAGGCCATTGATTATCTAAATAGGCATTATTTTTTAAGGTGTGGTTTCTGGTAAAATTTAGTAAAAGTTTCATTTATAGTATCTCAGAACATATAAATAATTAAACATTATTGAATACTTATTTATTAGTGCAAAATATTTCATTTTGGTTAGATTATGGATTTTGATTTCCATCTCAATCACCGCTTCCAGACAATTAATACTTGATTCAAAGCTTTAATCACTTCAATTATGAAGCATAAATAGTGAAAGACAGTTTTAATTTGTGTGTTTTTGTGATACTGTAAAAGTGGATTTATTGATAGCTGATTTAATTTTTTTAAATGTTTCAACCGTTAAAAGAGATACTAAATGAAATATATTTTATACAGTACCTACCCGTAACTTTACAGATTGGCCAAAACAAATAAAGCTGATTTAGTGGAAAGGTTCAAACAGAGTGTACATTACTTTGTGCAGGGGACTCAAGATGGTTTTTTTAACCGTTTCCAGCAGCCAAGAGGTAAGACCTAGAAGTGCATGGTATGTCTTTTTAAAATTAATTCAACCTATAAAAACTTAAGAATATCTTCTTAACCCATTTGAAATCTATACGACTTTTAATTCACATTACAGTGTCGAATTTTGCTGTATATTTGTATAATTCTTTTTTTTTTTAAATATTGGTGTTGCCAGTGTGGTGAAACTTTTATAAATTCAACCAAGTTATCATGGTGCAGACAATTTGTATTTTTTTTTTTCATTGGAAACTGAATTTGTAAAGCATGTTCTTAAACTTTATTCAATTCTTAAAAGGTTAATATTCTTTAATTAAGGTACTGGCATTTCAATGTAAAATTATAAAGTCTATCAAAACTCAGTGTAGCATTATCTGGAATTCCAAAATCTTGAGAACAAGGTAGAAGACGTAAGCTTTTCCAAATAGTTTTATTAAACAATACATCTGTTAAATATCAGAATAAAATATATTTTTGAAAATTTCAAGCTGTATTTAAAATTTTTATTTATGTTTAGTCTCTTTATATAATTGAATTAACAGGTTTACTAAAAATAATATGAAACAAGAAATGATGAAAAGAATCCGGACCACTGAAATAAATGCTGAATTTTGAGTCCTGATCTTGTTTTCAAATCTAGATTTCTATATTTATTCATCTTGAAACATCTAAAAATATTACATAAAATGCTTAATTTCTCTTACATTACATTTATATTTACTCGATTATTACTATTCTTTAGATTTAATACCTTAATTTAACAAAGGAAAAGCACATTTTCATTTATTTTTTTTTATTTTTAACCCAGTCCCTGCTACTGGACCCACTGTATATGGCAATTCACCACTTTTGCCAAATGTTAATCAGGTATGCCACATTGTTTTGAATAGCTATTATCCTGTAAATAATTGTTTTATTTTAAAAGGTATTATCCGTGTTTTCAAAATTGATAAATGAATGTAACCAAGTACTGATGAACTTTTTAAAAAAAAACTTTTTTATTTTTTTAAATTTTAATCTAAATTTAAGACATTTATGGAATTTTAAAATTTGCTTGGTCATTTAAAAATTAACACTGACTTCACGGTACACTTCACTCATGTGATTTCTTTTGTTTAACTCGCTAGGTTCCAGCCTATGTAGATCCACGAACTCAAGGTACAATGCTTAAACTATAACCCTTTTAAAAAAAACTTTTAGCAGATTATTTTTATAATTTAACTCTATATTTACCAATCAAAATTGATTTCCATACAACTTATTTTTTACAATTATATTGGTGCTAGTTACGCTTTAAAAATAACTTTATTATGCTAATATTTAAAAAAAAATTCAAAGCAATAGAAGTTGCAAATGTTGGCCAAGCTAGGAATTGAACAAATGTAAAACGCACAGCATTAAAGTACTCCACAAATACAATATTACAAGTGACATGATTATTACTCCATTTATTAATTTTTAATTGTAAGTCTTCTCTGTTTTAACAAGATTTTGCAATTTTATAAATGTTTCTTATTTTTATGGTTTTTAGGAAATGCCATGGGAGATGCTCAGAATAAGGTATGCTGATGGTGGATCAGTTGTTACTTTTCTTTTTCTCCTATCTTAAAAGTTTGTAGAAAATGGTAGAATTTTAGCTATGTTTAAATTCTTATATTTAATGTAAAGAGAACTTTATTGAAAGCTAAATATTTTTAGCTATATATTTATGTTCAAAAATTAATATAAATTTAGCTTTTATTGGCATGCCATTAACAACCTAGAAAGGAAAACTGCATTTAGTATCTATATATTTGTCAATTTGTTTATATTTAAGCGAAACCTTGGGCTGCCTCAAGTTACTAATGAGATTCTCCGTGTAGCAATAGACAGACATCAGAAAGGTCTGATGCATCCCCACATCTACCAAGTTTTAACTCAGGTAAAAAAAAATAATTTTTTTGTGCTTGTCTTGCCTTTTAAACTATAGTAAATATAATTAGGGCACAATCACAAGCTCCCATTTAGCTCAGACTTTTCTAGACCAACTAAATTGGATTGATATTCAATCCCTTGATCAGGGATTTCAACAATCCACTCCCCAAGTTTCTTCTTCTTTCGCCTCTTCGGCCTTAAGGAACAGCAGCCGATCTTCGACATTTGTGACGCCGCTTACAAGAGTCCTCCAGGCATCACGATCCTGAGCCAATCTCTCCAGCTTCCCCCAAGTGTGGCCAAGTTTGTTGGTATCTTCTTCCACTTCACGGCGCCAAGTGTTCCTCAGCCTGCTTCTTTTCCGTTTTCCTTGAGGGTTCCAGTTCAGGGCTTGTCTAGTTATGCTGGAGGCAGGTTTTCTGAGTGTATGACCGATCCATGTCCATCTTCTCTGGAGGATCTTTTGTTCTACCGGTTTCTGCTTTGTCCGCTGCCACAGTTTCTGGTTCCTGATTCTGTCAGGCCAGTGAATCCCGAGAATCCTTCTTAGGAAGTTACTGATGGACTAGATTCTCTTTATATTCACAGCAGTGGTTCTCCATGTCTCTGCACCATATAGTAGAACAGATTTCACCATGGTGTTGCTGCCAGTGCCTTTTCAACCCATATTTTGACATCAGCACCCGGCCTACCTTGCTTGTCCACGATGCTAGATGCTACCAAGATAGACAAAGCTCTCCACCTCTTCGAGCCTGATGGGTGCTGTATTGGTGGCATCGACCTTGAGAACTTAGCTCTTCACTTTGTGTATATTAAGACCAATACATGCAGAAGTGGCTGCAATAGTTCTGGTTTTCTCCTTCATCTGTTGTTGGGTATGGTAGAGAAGGGCAAGATCATCAGCAAAATCGAGGTCGTGAAGCTGGTCCCACAAGGTCCATTGTATACCATTCCGCTTTTGCTGTGTGTATGTTTTCATCACCCAGTCAATGGCCAATAGAAACAGGAAAGGTAAAAGCAAACACCTTGCCTCACACCGGCCTTCACCTAGAAAGCACCTGTTGTCTGTGGACAACTCGGCAGGTCATTCCTTCATAGGAGTTCCTGATTAAGTCCGTAATTTTCCGCGACACCCCATAATGTCTCAACAGTCTCCAGAGAGATTGCCTATCCCCACTGTCCAAGGCTTTCTCGTAGTCAACGAAGTTGATGTAGAGAGGCGAGTTCCATTCTTGTGATTGCTCTAGGATAATGCGTAGTGTTGCAATTTGGTCTTTACAGGATCTGTTGGTACGGAAGCCAGCTTGTTGGTCTCGCAGCAAGGGTCAACAGCAAACCTGTTTACGCTTACGATTTTGGCGTACAATGTACGATTCTTAGATGTCTTTTACGATTGTACGCCAAGACCCTCCAAAACTACGATTTTCAGAGACCCGGGGATTTAAAAAAATTAATAAATTTTCGGTTTTGGACGTTTTAGCCCTCTCTAATGAAGTAGGTATTCTAAATGAGCTGGCGAAATTTACGCTGCGGGGATAAAAAAAATTTTTTTTTGGTTGGGTCGCGCCATCTCGTTGCGATAATGTATCGTTATACCTGTGCGTTCAGTAACAACTGATCTAGAAAGTAGAAAAGTAGTTCTTTAATATTATGTATTTTTTGGAGCTGTAAACTGTAAATTAATGCTAAATAACGTTGATTTTAACACAAAAATTGCGTTTTCTATGTGAAAAAATCACTTTACGGCCCTCAAAAATATATATTTAGAAAGGTCATCCAATTTACTATAAAATTGTTATAATTCCACGAACGCCCCTTATACGATATCAGTGCGCAAACGCTTGGAACCAAGTCAACGCCGTCTGCTAAAAAAAGGTCCAAGTCGACCCCGCCACGGCAAACTCCGATCGGTCAAAGCAGAATGCGATGACAAATTTTATCTACGATCTTCTTAAATTTAGTGCCTTTTCATGGATTTTAAACTGAAATAGGTAAGTTAAAACATTATTGTTTCGTTTGGGAATGTTTAAATTATATAGAAAGCTTATTATTTCATATATTTGTTAATTTAGTGTGGGCTTATCGATAACTAATGCGTGTTTCTTACGCCTAGTGAAAAATGAAGATCAAGCTTTATTTGAAAATCATCTGTATTTATTTTACGATAGCGGAGAAAAAAAAGGAAACTATAATTAGTTCAATGAAATGTTTAAATATTTAATGATGTTTATTTTGTAGCTATGCAATTTGTTTGGAAACTGCAGTAAATCATTGAACTCGGATAATATAGTCGATTCGAGCGAAGCATTCATGTTGGGTCGAAGCATTATTGTCGCGAGGGTGAACGGGATGCTTTAATTTTAGTGGAGTTCATTTTTAAACTAGAAATTCGATAACTAATCCATTTTATCAATTAAGTTATATGGTATGATCCATTAGAAAGTGTTGCAACGTTAATTATTATTCTTTTTCTAAGTTATAAAGCTAGTTTATGGAGTTCATTTTTAAACTAGAAATTCGATAACTAATCCATTTTATCAATTAAGTTATATGGTATGATCCATTAGAAAGTGTTGCAACGTTAATTATTATTCTTTTTCTAAGTTATAAAGCTAGTTTTAAAAATTAGTTACCGGTACCTAGTGTTTCACCCCCTTTCGTAAATGTCCGATTCCAAAATTAACCTTACTCAAAACTTTGCTTTGCTTTACTATTGTTATAAATGATATACGGTGTATCATAGTGTATGCATATTTATTTGGAAAATAGGAGGCAGATAAAATCTTGTAAACTTTTGTGTTTTAATTTTATCATTTCATATTTCAGTGGATGAAACTGAAAACATCTTAAGACCTTGAGACAGATACCATTACAAAAGAACGAGATGACTCGGACCACTTCCAAAACAGAATGTCAGTATTGTCATCAGTCATCAGTACAGGTTAGTAGTACCGCTTGTAATACTTGTAATATTAGTTTTATGTGCATTTTGTTATTATACTGATAGTAATGACATGATCATAAATGCTAAGTTGATGGCTATTACTAATAACTTTTAAAAATACATATATAATATTAACGTTTTTTCAGGTGCTGGAAATTATAAATTTTCAGTGCAAAAATACTATACAAAAATAATATTTCTTGAGCAGAATTTTGTTTCCTAAACTTCAGCCTGTTGCTTTATTATTAAAAAGATTAACATTTTCTACAATACTGTGTAAAATTTGTTAAGATATCTTGCCTCGTTAATTTTTTATGAATTTTTAAAAATCGATGAAATTCTTAGCTTTTGTGTACATGCCTTGCTGAAATAATTTATGTAAATTCTTTTTTTGGTTTCACCATATGCCTGATGATTTCACACTGTTGTGCTTTAAATTACCTTTTACTTGACTCCTGCATATTTACAATAGCTTGATTAATTGATTTTTTATGATTTTTTGAAAATGAACTAAAATTAGGTATTCTAAATGAAAATTTCATAATGAAATTAAATAAAATTGAACTATTCCCCTAAATAGAGCTTGGCTTCATGAGAACAGAACCACAAAATTTAACTCTCTATCTCCAAAATTAAAAAAGTTATTCATTTTTTAAAAATCAAGAACAGGCTCAATTTTTAGACGCCAGGAAAGTGTAGTTTTGACACCCACTATCTTCTAAAATAACTAAGTTAGAACTTTCAAATCTCTTGCACATATAACCAGTTATACATATAACAAACTCAATTTTTTTCAGGGTTGTCACGAAAATATAAATACAATTTTTATTCATTCAAAATTGAGCCGAAGCTCAATTTTACAAAATATTAAAAGGGAGACAAAAAGTCAATTTTAGTTCATTTTCAAAAAATCATAAAAAATCAATTAATCAAGCTATTGTAAATATGCAGGAGTCAAGTAAAAGGTAATTTAAAGCACAACAGTGTGAAATCATCAGGCATATGGTGAAACCAAAAAAAGAATTTACATAAATTATTTCAGCAAGGCATGTACACAAAAGCTAAGAATTTCATCGATTTTTAAAAATTCATAAAAAATTAACGAGGCAAGATATCTTAACAAATTTTACACAGTATTGTAGAAAATGTTAATCTTTTTAATAATAAAGCAACAGGCTGAAGTTTAGGAAACAAAATTCTGCTCAAGAAATATTATTTTTGTATAGTATTTTTGCACTGAAAATTTATAATTTCCAGCACCTGAAAAAACGTTAATATTATATATGTATTTTTAAAAGTTATCGAAAATTTGTGGGAAAAATTATTAACTATGAATTAGTATTGAAAGTCAATTTGATGCCTTTATTTGCATGTCTGTGTGGGTCTTGAGACACTTCCCTACACTGGTTTAATGACTAATTTCCGTACACCAACAACCTGTGAAGAGAATATTTTATTTTATTTGCATTAATTAAATTGTATTTATAATATTATTGTTAGTAATAGCCATCAACTTAGCATTTATGATCATGTCATTACTATCAGTATAATAACAAAATGCACATAAAACTAATATTACAAGTATTACAAGCGGTACTACTAACCTGTACTGATGACTGATGACAATACTGACATTCTGTTTTGGAAGTGGTCCGAGTCATCTCGTTCTTTTGTAATGGTATCTGTCTCAAGGTCTTAAGATGTTTTCAGTTTCATCCACTGAAATATGAAATGATAAAATTAAAACACAAAAGTTTACAAGATTTTATCTGCCTCCTATTTTCCAAATAAATATGCATACACTATGATACACCGTATATCATTTATAACAATAGTAAAGCAAAGCAAAGTTTTGAGTAAGGTTAATTTTGGAATCGGACATTTACGAAAGGGGGTGAAACACTAGGTACCGGTAACTAATTTTTAAAACTAGCTTTATAACTTAGAAAAAGAATAATAATTAACGTTGCAACACTTTCTAATGGATCATACCATATAACTTAATTGATAAAATGGATTAGTTATCGAATTTCTAGTTTAAAAATGAACTCCACTAAAATTAAAGCATCCCGTTCACCCTCGCGACAATAATGCTTCGACCCAACATGAATGCTTCGCTCGAATCGACTATATTATCCGAGTTCAATGATTTACTGCAGTTTCCAAACAAATTGCATAGCTACAAAATAAACATCATTAAATATTTAAACATTTCATTGAACTAATTATAGTTTCCTTTTTTTTCTCCGCTATCGTAAAATAAATACAGATGATTTTCAAATAAAGCTTGATCTTCATTTTTCACTAGGCGTAAGAAACACGCATTAGTTATCGATAAGCCCACACTAAATTAACAAATATATGAAATAATAAGCTTTCTATATAATTTAAACATTCCCAAACGAAACAATAATGTTTTAACTTACCTATTTCAGTTTAAAATCCATGAAAAGGCACTAAATTTAAGAAGATCGTAGATAAAATTTGTCATCGCATTCTGCTTTGACCGATCGGAGTTTGCCGTGGCGGGGTCGACTTGGACCTTTTTTTAGCAGACGGCGTTGACTTGGTTCCAAGCGTTTGCGCACTGATATCGTATAAGGGGCGTTCGTGGAATTATAACAATTTTATAGTAAATTGGATGACCTTTCTAAATATATATTTTTGAGGGCCGTAAAGTGATTTTTTCACATAGAAAACGCAATTTTTGTGTTAAAATCAACGTTATTTAGCATTAATTTACAGTTTACAGCTCCAAAAAATACATAATATTAAAGAACTACTTTTCTACTTTCTAGATCAGTTGTTACTGAACGCACAGGTATAACGATACATTATCGCAACGAGATGGCGCGACCCAACCAAAAAAAAAATTTTTTTCTCCCCGCAGCGTAAATTTCGCCAGCTCATTTAGAATACCTACTAAAATTGACTTTTTGTCTCCCTTTTAATATTTTGTAAAATTGGGCTTCGGCTCAATTTTGAATGAATAAAAATTGTATTTATATTTTCGTGACAACCCTGAAAAAAATTGAGTTTGTTATATGTATAACTGGTTGTATGTGCAAGAGATTTGAAAGTTCTAACTTCGTTATTTTAGAAGATAGTGGGTGTCAAAACTACACTTTCCTGGCGTCTAAAAATTGAGCCTGTTCTTGATTTTTAAAAAATGAATAACTTTTTTAATTTTGGAGATAGAGAGTTAAATTTTGTGGTTCTGTTCTCATGAAGCCAAGCTCTATTTAGGGGAATAGTTCAATTTTATTTAATTTCATTATGAAATTTTCATTTAGAATACCTAAGTGAAGATCTGGCAGTGAATATGAACGAGAAAAACGATTGGTTGTATTTTTTTTTTAAAGTTGGGACCATCCTTATTATATTTCGAAAGCACTCATGGGGAGGTGGGGTTGTTGATTACGGAAATTGTGGCATACGAGACACGCATGGGTAGGGGATTGGTGGGAGTGTCAAAGGTTATAAATAAATAACCGCGACGCATCGTATTGATGGATTTGATGGTGATTGTCGTATTGCTGCTTTGTGTGTCACAGTCACAGGGAACTAGCTAGCTGCGTCAAAAGTAATATTTAAACTTGTCGCCCTAGCGACAACTTCACTCACCATCGCCTTTGACTGCTACCAAGCGTGTGGCGTAGTTTTGTTACATAATTATTTTGTTCCTCAGAACCGCGGCGATTGTAAAAATAGAGATGGAGCGTTGGATTTTGGCATACTGGTATTTTCTAAGATCCAGTCAGCGACATTTACAAAATACTTTTATAACTCGCAAATCAGCTCTAAGCCTTCAACGATTTTAATACAACAGTTTGGTATCACTACCAGGGTTTCTTTCAGCTATATCTCGGGGGGGGGGGGGGGGGTTCTGGGCGATCTGAGTGCTGCTCTGTCAGCCGGCCACAAACGGGTTTGACTCCCAAAAACATGGTTCTTGGCAGGTTCTTGAAAAAAAAATTTGTCTCTCAAACAAATTTTAATTGCCCTGCTGGTGTTTTTATTTTGTTGCTCTTTTGACTTATGAGTTTGCCCACTAAAGCGTGTTAGCGGAACAAATCAAGCTCCTTTTGGGTAGGCGACGGCACAGTTTTTTTCCCCGTAATGAGGGTGGGGGGTGGTTGGAAACAATTATGTCACAGCACGGAAAGACGTGTTGGCACCATATTACTGCTATAGTGATTTCTTTATTAAAACACAAAGCATTAGTATACGATAACTGCGAAACATTGTGATGATGTTTTATAGCCTTAATAATAATAATTAATAATGGGCCTAATTGGAATTCATGACCTTCACATATTATCAGGTGACAGTTGGCTCCATAAGAGACTGTCAGGATAATCATTGAAGAAATCATGCATAAATGTAGGTGCATTCTGGGCCCCTTCCCATCAAAGCTGCCATGCGCATCTTCAGCGTGTACGTAGTAGTTGGATAGCTTTACGTTGACAAGGTGGGGAGGGAGGTTATGAATATTTTTTACATTTTATTTTGCCTACCGAGTATGTTATATATGGATGTCCCATTGTCCAAACAGCCCTGGCATACGAAGTGGGGTTACATAGACGGATGTGCACATTGCGGTATTTTAATGTCACTAACTTCGTTACCGTAGTTCAGTATGAACAATACATTAGGATATGGCATCAACAAAATGAAAAGCATGCGAAACCGATGATGAAGAAGTAACTTCAACTTAACATCAGATTTAGTAAAAGAAAGTTTATTAGCTGATATCCCATCTTGAATATCAGACAAAATTGACTGGGTTGCGTTCTTCAAATAAGGGTCCGTCATACGCAAACAGCACAGTCGGACTTTTCATTAGCAATCAATCGGAGATAAAAGAAGTGGTGTTGATTTGAGAGATTGTGTGCATGGAGCCGGTCTAAGTATTTCAATTTATATACTCAACACCGCCAAATTTTCGTAATGACAGTTCGGGTGTGCGTGTGGGGGGGGGGGGGGGTCCTCGGCACAAGGTATGTGCGTTATTTAAAAGGGGGGGTGTCCTCGGCACAAGGTATGTGCGTTATTTAAAAAATTCTGCAACATTCATCCCGAAACTCTGAAAGTCCAAAAATAACATTTATATCTCGAATGGTTTAAAATACCAGCCAATGTGTAGTAGGAATTATAGTCGTGATGTTGTAAAGGGGGTATTTTCACAAATCAACTGGCTAGCTATACTCAATAGTAGAAGAATTACAGTACGGTGTTAAGTTTACCGAATGTTTTTTTTGGGCTACGCCAGTGGTTCTAAAATATTTGTTTTCCGGCGCCTGTGCAATATTAGGTTTTCACCAGGCGCCTTGTGTGACATTCTAACAAGTGCATTTGGACATAGCGAATTCCAAAATAAAACAAAGGGTGGGATAAAAATAAATATAACACATATGTAGGTCACTGAGCGCCATCTGTAGCTACAAACAGTAGATACTCAACTGGGTAACTGGACCGAAAGATGTCACATTGGATTAAAAGTGAAAATAAAATTATGAAATTTTAAAAATATTTTGCAACGCGCCTGCGAGGAAGCCGCAGCAGCCCATTTAGAAAATTTTCACCCCCCATTTAAAAGGACAATTTATTGCGCCCTTAATCTTGTGTAAATGTTTTTTTATAGTTGAATTGATTGTTTAAGTTCCTTTCTATAGACGATTTTGACGTGGTTGCTCTACATTATATTCTCATGGTCCTGCCCAAAGGCAGCGAACACCCAGGGCGATGTAGTCCGATGTAGTCCGATGTAGCATATATTCTGTGAACCACTGGGCTGGACGAATCACCAGTGGTGAAAACCCGTGTCACATTTTGTTTACTGTAACATAACATGTAATGGACTTTGCCAATTTTTTATTATTGTAATTGAGGGAAAAGAGGGGGGGGTCGTAAAAACTTCTGCGTGCAATGGAAAGGGGGGGAGTTACATAATTAGACTTTATTGCGTTACTGTAGTTTTATTTATTTACTATTGAGATATTGTATTGTACGATTTTGAGACCAGATTGTATGATTTTAGGGGTTTGAGGGTAAACAGGTCTGCAACAGCGTCTTTCATTTTGTTGAGTAGTACGCGGTTGAAAACCTTGCCTGGGATGGACAGTAAGGTGATCCCTCTATAGCTGGAGCAGGAGCTTAAGTCCCCCTTCTTTTGGGATTTTAATGAGGTATCCCTCCTTCCACTCAGAAGGTGCCTGTTCTTCCTCCCAGATCTTCATGAGCAGAGGGTTTAGCATCTCTACACTAGTGTTCACGCCAGTCTTCAGTGTCTCTGCTGGGATGCCATCCGGTCCTGCATCCTTGCCATTTCTAAGTTGTTTGATGGCAATAAGGATCTCTTCTTTGGTGGGTGTGTTGCAGTCAATAACCAGGTCTCTGTCAGCTGGCTGGATATCTGCTGGGTTACTTGGCTCTGGCCGATTAAGCAGTTCCTCGAAGTGCTCTTTTCATCTGCTTCTCTGTTGCTCCTCATTTGGTATGTTCTTACCATCTTTGTCCTTCACTGGTCTCTCTGGCTTCCTGAACTTCCTGGACAAATTCTTGATGGTAGCGAACAATTCCCGCATATTCCCCTGGTATGTTGCTTCTTCTGCTTCTTTGGCAAGCATTGCTACAAATTTCCTTTTTCCATCTTAGTGCTTTTCTTTACTGTCCTATTTGCCTCTGAGTACTCTTTTTGTGGAACCTAGCTTTCTGCCCTCATGTACGGCTGTTGTTAATTTCTGCCTTCTTCCCTTTTCTCTCTTCTATCACCTTCAATGTCTCTGCTGTTGTCCATTCTTTGTGTGTGTATGTTTCCTGTTTCCCAACACTTCCTGACATGTTGATTTGACTGCTTTCTTCACTCCCTGGCACTTTCCATCAATCGTCTTGTCTCCTAGCAGTTCGAGTAGGACTTGGAGCTTGTTGGATAGAGTGATCTTGAACTCTTCCTGTTTGGCCTTATCTTTCAGGAGGGGGATGTTGTAGTGCAAGCCATATGTTGTCTGCTCAGTGTAATGCCTTTTCAGTTTTAGTCTCGGGCCACTAGGAGGTGGTGGTTTGAGGCAATGTCAGCCCCTGTTCTGACACGTACATCTTGGAGAAATCGCCTGAATTTTTCCCCAATACACACATGATCAATTTGGTTCATCGTTTGGAGGTCCGGTGAAACCCATGTGGCCTTGTGTATCCTCCTGTAATGGAAGAAGCTCCCGCCTATGACTAGATTTGTTGTGGCACATAGGTCAGCAAATCTTTCTTTGTTGTCATTCATCTCTCCTATCCCCTGTCGTCCCATGGCTTCTTCGTAACCTGTGTTGTCACTGCCGATCTTGGCATTGAGGTCTCCCATGAGAGTGACAATGTTGCGCCTAGGGCGACCCTGGACAATGGTCAGTAATCTGTTATAGAATTCATCTTTGTCCTCCTCCTCACTTTCGATTGTTGGTGCGTAGCATTGGATAGCATCTAAATTGATTCTGTGTTTTTTTGGTCTGAAAAGTTGCTGTGAGGATTCTAGGTCCATGCACCTCCCATCCAATGAGTGCTCCTCGGGCTGTCCTATATATCATCAGGGCCACACCCAGAGTGTGTGGTGCATTGTCGTCCTCGTGACCTGAGAATAACAGCATCTCTTCTGAGACTTATCTCTTCTGTCCGCAACCGGTCCATCTTGCTTCACTGATTCCTAGTGTGGGGAAGTTATAGTTCCTCATCTCAGTGGCTACTTGTGCAGTCTTTCCTGTCTCATTCATGGTGCTTACATTCCATGTTCCAATGGCGGTGGTGGTGGTGGTCCTGGTGGAGATGATGGTCGTTGGCTTAAAAGTTTCCAGATTTTGGCTTTCACTACTTGGCGTCATGCATTCCTCAGCTGGGAATCTATCCTCTCTCAGGACGGGCATGTCTTTTGTTGCTCTTGTCTGCGTTTTTGTATCAAAGGATTTTTACGTGGCAGAGTTGTAAGCCCTGCGCACAACCATCTGGGGGGCTCACCATTGCCCTTCACAACTCTCCGGAGAGCTGCCCTTAATTTTGGGAAGGGTACCCTAGCCTTTGTGGTTTTGCCCACTTCCTGCAAGACAGCAGGCTCTGATTTTGGTCCTCCCTGGGTATTTGATTTCCCCAGTACCTACCATATCTGGTGGGCATTACCCTATCCGCCACCTGGGGAGGCACTCCACACAAGACTCCCCAAGTTCAGGCCACAAAAATTTCAAAAAACTTGAATACACATTTTTGCACACATACTTTACACCTCACATGTCATGCAATAGTAACTAATATCTGCAACTCTTTATCGGGCTACATGCACACCTTCCTTTATTGGTGGCATTGGTGCAACATGAAATTTGATAAATAATTATTCAATACCATAAATATTTCTTATTACCTTCAAATTATTTCCAACTCATAATTTGAAAAAGTTCATGCACAAAATCAGCAAAATCAACAATTGCATTGTTTCTTATAACATTTGACAGCCAAAAGATAGGCAAACATCTGTCACTTTATGCATACTTTGGTTTATAATGTTTAAATAATCTCCAGATGCATCTTAAATAACTGATTGATTTTTACTAAGAATCACTTAGATTGCATTTTATTCAATATTCATAGTCACCTAGTCAAATTCTCATTTATTATCAAATAATTTTTTTGTTATATGTAGGGAGAGGTCAAGCTACCAGTAATCTTAGAGGATGATACCACACGAGAACTGCCTTCCTATATTGATTTGTACAGACCACTGAGACAAGCTATCTATTCAGTACTGCTCAATCTCAATAAGCAAAAGATAGTACATGAGATTCAAAATAAAGAGAAGGGTAAGTTATCTTTTTTATAGTGCCACATTGCCTTCCCCATTATATTATTGCCATTCAACTAGACAAAATATCACTTTATTTCATTTAAACTCCAGTTATCCTTTTAGCAATGACTTGCAGACCTCCATTTGGTTGAATATTTTATTACTTAGATTTGTCTTCTGCTTTTAATTTATAATTAATTATTGGACAGTTCTTTAAACCTGAAATTCTTTTTAAAAACATACTTTCTTCTGGCATTTCCATCTTGTTTTTATGTCCTGTGTAATTTTGTTTTTTACACACTTGACCCTCTCGCTTGGTTGATTCTTCTTCGTGCCGACCTGTACTGTAAGGTTGCATCTGAGTTGATGACACAGAGTTACTGCTCCTGAATGCTTGCTCGAGGGAGGGTGTTGGATTTTATTGGGGTTGTGAGTGATGGGGGAAATTAAAATTAACGGTAATTAAAAAAAACAACCCTACCCCCTTGTTTACAATAACCATCTGCCCAAACTAGGATTTTGGGATGTGGAAGGGGGAAGGTTTTGGGGCAGGTCATTTCTGTATTTAGATTTTGATTAATGGCCAGCAAGCAATCGTTCAATTGTTATTTTGAGTTTTATGCCAAATTATTATTTTTAGTGTCATGGCTGGGTAAAGAACTAAGTCACTATACCATGGATTTTGTAAGCATTCCGTTATAAGAAAAAAATAAAACTTTTTCTGTGGATGATATATAGATACTAAAAAGGTGAAATAAAAAATGTTAAAAACTAGTTTGAAGACAATTTAAGATGCACTAAAAAAGTAGAAAATAATTTTCTTAAAATTAATTGCGCAAAGATAGTCTGTGCATGAAATTGGAATCCTTCAGCTTCATAGAGTGCCTTCCTACCCATCTGCACATACTTGCTTTGTGTAATGAATTTTAAGAATATTATTTTCTACTTTTTAGTGTGTCTTCCAAAGAAACTCTTTGTATAAAGTTTGTTATTATTTTTTTAAATGAACATGAAATGATGAAAAATGTTTCCGGACCTCTGAAGTTATAACTATTGATGAGGTTTGAGTCCTGATTTTGTTCATTTCTATTGCTCATTTGACTAACTAAATTTTAAATGCTAAGTAATAAAAAAAAAATGGCTATGAAGAATATCATAATACTTACATGTTATATTTTATGTTGCTTTCATTAGTAGAATCTATATTTTCAAGAAATTTTAATGACAATAAAATTGAAAAAAATAGTTTCCTCACATTTTATATTTCTGTTTTGAAGAAAGTTAAAGACATTAACTCTTTGTCTCCGCAATTAATTTTCACGTTCGGATGGAATTATTTATTTTGCATTTTTTGAACTACTCTTGTTGCTGTTCATAAGTTGAAATCGACAAGGACCATCGAGTCATCCGTTTAGGTGGGAGTGTGGGTTATGGTGAGCTCATATGTGGCTTGCTAGTCCGATCCATGCTTGGATTAATCTCTGGCACTGCGGGCAGGGGATAGTTGCTGCAGTTGGTATCTGTTATTGCTCTTTCGGGCTAGCCTGCGTGTCTCAGTTGTAGTTATCCTACTGGCTTCATGAGATTGCACTACTATGTTATCTCTAAACCATCAAGTTTGATTTTCATCAGAAAATGTTAAGTTTGGTATGGAATGCATGCTCTTTACAGACAATACAGACTAAGGTTTAAATTTTATTATATAAATGAGATTATGATTTATGGAAAATAAAAATTTTAAATTAAAAAAAAAAAATCAACAAATGTTATCAAAAGGCTTATTCCAAGTCACACAAAGAGAAATTTATAATTCAAAGTGTAAAAAAAAAATTTTATGACCTATATCCAGAAGTGCATCACAAATAATAAAGATCACGTTTTTAAAAAAGGAAACACCAGAGCACATTATCCATTGTCACAGAATATATCTGAAAAACACTATTTCCACTGGAAACAATCTGTTGCTATTAGAAAATATTTGCACTGTATCCTTGTGTGTATTAGCATTTATTATGGTAAATGGAAAATTTACCATAAATTTGTCATATCTTTTCATCTGGATTTAGCTATGGCAAGCCCGAAAACTATCCATATGGGTGAGAATCACATCCAGCATAAATGTATACGGTACAGTTCGCCCTGTTCTACAATGTTTGCACACTGTCCTTTTTGGAGCTATTAGGCACATTTTTTGCTCAGATAGGTCTCTCAATGGCACAGGGATGTTCACAGCCTGGTCGGAAACTTCCAAATTTTTCTTCCTGGAATAATGGTCGCAGCATATTCTGTTTATTTGTCAGCAAGTTGTATTTTGAATTTCTGAGGGTTATTTTTTAGATTTTCTCTGATCTCTTCTGGCCTTGTGTGCTTATAAAAGGCTACATTTTACACATTTCTTGTAGCATGCAGAGAATTGTTCTCTGAAACATTGTGACATACCAATGTATGCATCCCATTAACCAAAAGTCACAAACAAATGGACGAGAGTTCATCCCCATCATTGTTGTTACTGCTAGAAATTTGTTGGTCTCATAACTATTGACAGGTTGCCAGTCACTAAAAATAGATCTCTTGCATGTTAGAGTGTTGACTTTAATTCTATAGGAAGCATACTCATTTATTGAGAGTACAAGCTTGTGAATAATGTGTGTCTAGCAAAGTAAAAAAAACAGTCAAGGTTTACCAGCTCCAAATTTACATCTACATTATTCAAAAGTACAAATCTGAAATTGCACTCAGATTTAGTGCTAAGATCAGCAGATTTCCTATTAGAATCTACATTATTTATAGTAGAAACAGTATTAGCTCTTCTAGAGGGCACTTTAAAACAGGTTTTAATGCCTCTGTCCGAAAACCTCATTTAAAATCAACGATGGGAGCGTTGATCTGGAGAGAAAGTTAATGCAAACTTCTCACCAGTTAAAAAAAAAAGTTTCAGTCACATTTTATTGACACATAATCATGGTAAAATTAGCCAGTTTTACATTTAACCTGGTTATTTTTAAAATAGGCCTGTTAAAAATTTAATGTGTGCATGACTCAATTTCTTTTATGTGCACATTTATCTTGAGAGGAAAGACCAGCAACTTGAAAGTAAATTTGGTCACAGTTTAAGATTTACACTCTTTCTGCAGTTAATCTTCCACTACCTGATTTCTCTGCACAAGTAAAGGAATGGGTGGTCCGTCGAGGCTCTGGTCGGCCAACTTATGAAGTTGTTACAGCTCGTCCTGTAGAGTGGAAAACACCTAGTGTACAACGTATGTGGCTAGGTCAACAAGATGGTGATAAGGACCGCAGACTTCGTGCTTTTCTTACAATCATGATGAGTGACACTAGTCTGATGCTGAACACCAACTATGTACCACAACATCTTCTAGTCATGTGTTCTGTGTTGAGGTTTTTAAAATAACTTTTACTTTTAGTGATTAAAAAGAATTTTGTTATCAATTTCTTCTTCAAAAATATTCAAAATGCCAATATTGAATATACTAACAAAATAATAATTTGTGAGGAAAATTAAGGCAAAATGAGAGCATGCGTGTCATTAATTGTTAAATGAGTAATAAAATTTAGTATTGGATGAAGTATTTTGACCTCCTGGCATTCATGTTTCCTTGTCTCTTATAACAGGTATATGATGCAATATGGTCGCATTTTACAGAGACAAGAACTTGATGCTTTCCTTGCAATGGCAGTCTCTCCTCTGTTGCATGATGTTCAGACCATGCAAGATCTTAAAGTAACTTAATTTTTAATATGTAATTCCAAAGTATATAAAAATATTTTTAAAAGTTATGTTAATATTTATTTTAATTTATTTTTAAGAAGTTTGTTTAAACATAAATAAAATGTGCTTGATGCAGAAATTTAGTTTTGATTTTAAAAGTATAGTAATAGGATTGAGTTATTTCAGTAAAATTAAATTAATCCTTACTATATTGAGTTGCTGCTAATAAAAAATAACCTAAATAAGGCTTGGTATTTAATTGTATTTCGCAAAATTTTATGTTTTTATTTTCCCATTCTCTTAAAGCTTCCTAACATTATTCCACGAGGCAGTCAGTTGGCTTCTTTGTTTATGTCTGGTATTGAAACAGCCACTATGGCTAATGACGTCTGTGGTGCTCCTATACCCTGGACAATGATCTGCCCATGGCTTTATATGGATGGCAAGCTTTTCCATTTCAAGCTTCTGAAAGCAAATAACAACACCCCTCTTATTGATATCTGTGATGGTCAAGTAAGATAAATTTCTGAACATGATACTAAATATTAGATAGTTAAGGCCATAAGAATTCTAATTTTATTTTAACAAGAAGTGATGATTGTTTCCGAAAACCTCTGAAATATAAACTGATGAGGTTTGAGTCCTGAACTTGTAAATTTGAGCATGCTATGTTTGTATTTAACATTTTTCTACTGTGGATTTCTCATCTCTCAAGATGCCTCTAGAGTTAGCTTGTTTTTCTATCCTGGAATTTACAAAATTAGACCTTCCAAATAAAAAAAAATAAGAAAAGATTATTTTATTGATACAAATGGAAAATTGTTTTATTACATTGTGCAGATTCATTTTCAGCACATAAAAACGAAAATAAAGCCTGCTGTATGCTTCTGCACAATTAAGTTTACTTTCAAGCTTAGATTTTCAGATTAGTGACTAGATTTTCAATGCTGTATCAGTAGAGATATCAACATAATATAGCACACCATCAAGGTCAATATGGAAAAAAAATCTAGTTCTACAATTCTATTATGTTCATGTTCACTCAAATTTTTCCTGATTGGTTTTTACATTTTTCTTACTTCATTTAATGTTTCTTATAAGCTTTGATTCAACAAGAAATATTTTTTTTAAAACTAGCCCTTATTTAAAACATGATTAGTCTAAATGTGAGGCTTTATTTTGAGAAATGAAAGATTTTCAATGTTTCTCAACAGATGGAGCAAGTGTTGAGAGTTGAACGCATGAGACAGGCAATCCTGGAAAATCTGAGAGTTGATTTTGCTAAGCCACTCTTGCCTGGGTTCTTCTATCCTTATCCTGGCCAGCCATACGCAGGAAATCCTCTGCCATATGGTCCTGCAGTGACTTCCAGAGGTCGTGGAGGTCCAATGGCTGGGCTGGCAAGTCGCCAAGTGGGAAGGGGACGTGGGATTCTAGGTAATTACGGTAATACAATTTTCATTACATCTTGGTATTGTACATCATGCATGATTAGATGCTTTAACAGTTACTTTTATTTCATGTGCATATATTATTTTATGATCAGTATGGTCCTCAGTTACAGAATAAGAAGGAAAAAAGATGTTTTTTTTGTAAATCCTGTCAAAGTCTTTTAACATGATGGCAGTTAAGATCATACATCACTATTCATTTATAAATATAAAATGTCGTTGCACATGAAGATGATAATGGCAAAGTTGGAATTGAGTAGTAGCCTTAACTTAGCTTTATTTTGTTTAAAAAAGTGAGGAGAAGAGTTGCTCAATCCATCAGCCTCTGTCCCTGCCTATTTGATCCAATGGCAAACTTTTTAGTCAGGATGCAGTTGCTGACCAGCAAGATATTAATGTGTGTGCTTCAATGTTCTCTTCACGCCTTCTACATCATAAGAGTTTTAGAATTTTCATTTTTTCCATGTCATAAGGCCTATGGAACTCCATCTCCGGGTTTGATTTCAGAGTTTGCCTTCTCCTTGATGAGTTGCCATCGAAGGTTAACAAGTCCCATCCACCCAGGGTGCTGATGTTTTTCTTGTCAATGTATTTTCTGGGGATTTAACTCCAGTCAACTAGCTTGAAATTGACTCAGTTTAGACTGCTTGTGCACACAACACACAATGAATGGTTTAAACAAAGAAATATTTTAAAAATAAGCTGATATGAAAAAGTGCTTTTTTGCTTTGTAACCTTGAAGTACCAGTATTCAGACCTGCCAACCCTTCCGATTTTTCGGAATTATACGGATTTTTTACAGCTCATTCCGACTTTCCGTCACACCCCTTAAAATTCTGATATTTTTCACCCGTTAAAAAAATCCGAAAGTCACCCAAAAAAAATGTTGGGTACGACAAGAAGTGATGCATTTGTTTTTATGAAGTGTCTACAAGTCCGGCGACCGGATGAATAAGGGAATAAATTTTCGAGATATTCGCCCGGTCACTATATATTTGACCAAATCACATGACCAGTGTAAGAAAGTTGTGCGAGAAATTATGCGCGTGATGCTTGTCTGTCAACTTCGTCATAATGAATCATTGGTTAAAAGTGACAATGTTTTTTGTAAAGCGTGACATGCCCGCCGGATGAATATCTCCTACACTATTTGTCCGATCGCCTAACATGTAGACACTGCCTTTATCGAAGCAAACCGCGATCTCCAAATCATTCTTCAATCATCGTCCGATCGTGATTCATCCTTTTACAAGCCTAAAAAATAATTTCAGACTTCTTTTTTTTTTTTGTTTTTTTTTTTTTTTTTAAGCTTTCCTTAATTAAATTTTTGTTTTAATAAAAATACTGTAACCCAAAAAAACCATACAAATGCAAATAAAAATAAAAATAAATCTTTTTTTTTTTTGTTTTGTTTTTTTTGTTAAAGCTTTCCTTAATTAAATCTTGGTATTAATAAACATACTGTAACCCAAAAAAACCATACAACTGCAACTAAAAGTAAAAGTAATCCATGTCTTATTAAAAGTTTCTTTGCTAAGGAATCCGATCGTTTTAATGCCAGAGTCAAAGAAATGTTTCCAGACTCGCAGATTGGTAGAAGATTGTGAAGAAAAATTATAATGAAACGAGGGCAAGCATAAACGTTCATACTCTTTCTAACTTGCTACTTGTAACCAAAATCAATTGCAATGCTAACCTTCAGTTCTCTAAAGAGCTGTTGGACTAGTGCAAAAAGGCCACTAGGGATATGCTGGAAGACTGAACTCTTAGCTGCCTGTGTTCAATTGTAAATAAAATGAATCTTCTTTCCTCTTTCCTGTACTGTATATAAACATTTCCAGTAATGTTTTTCTCATGTTCTGTGGACTCTTCAAAGACAATGGAAGTAACTTAATATTTCTTTATTTACTTAAAAAAAGGCTTGTGCATTAGTTTATAGATTTTAAAAGCAATGCCGCCCCCGCGTGGCCCCCTGGGTGTTAGCGACCCTCCTTCCCCCCTGAATGCAACCCCCTACAGATTTTTTTTTCTTGGCAGGTCTGAGTATTGTTATTAAAAAAATGTGCCCTTTATAATAATTATATAATAATTTCATTTATTTTTTGTTCCTTCCCAAAGCTCTTGTTGAGCAACCTACATCAAATTCCACTAGAACGCGTCCTAAAACACTTACAGTGCCAAGAAGACTTCCGGGGGGTATAAATAATGCTAACCCATTAGATCTTGACATAATTTTCACCTTTAAATTTTCTTAATCATATTATTCTTGGCAGTTTGAAGAAATTTAGTAAACTGACAAAAAAATAATTTTTTTTAAAATTGTTTTTAAATATTATTTTAATGTTGTATAATTCTCTTTGCTCACCCAAAGAGCCATGTTTTCACTGTAATTTAAAAATTAACTAAACATTTGTAAAATAAGTTGGTTATATTTTGTTCTAATATTATTATTTTTTGTTTAAACTCATAGTAAGTGAGTTTACTGCATTCTAAAACACCTTTCAGTACTGACATATTATGTAACATTTACACCACCAACAGTTCTGATGATAAATTATTATAAAAAAAGGTAGAAATTATTTCTTGGAAAATTAAATCAAATCGTTTTAGTACCTTTTCAAACCTTCAGTTATTTTAAAAATCTATCTAAAACATTTTTGTGTGATTATTTATGTTTTTTTTCCCCCTATAGACTTAATAGAATATGGGAGGGCTTTTCATATTTTGGAAATAAACTGCTACTGTTAATCTTTTAATCTTTGGAGAAAATATTCTTTCATAGCATTCACGTTTACCATCTTCCTTTACAAAAGTACTGAAAGGCAGTAGCCAGGGTACCTTGGTGCTGTAACTATTAAGAGCTAATTCAATGATCCTTTAAAAAAATTTCTGAGTCACATTTTGATCCCATTTATTTTTATGACATTTGTTAGTTTAAATTCTCCTCTACCTGTTGACATGAGGAGTAACATTTCAATGGCCTCAACAGCATACAAAGAGACATTATTTATAAAAAAAAATACTGGATAACAAGTTTTTGCAATTATAATTAATGTACCCGATACCTTTAATGGAAAAAATAACTGTATAGAAAATTGGAACAAGTATTTACCATGTTAAAGTTAGTATATTAATTTTAAAAATATACTTTTTATTCTTGTTCTAAAAGTATTAAGACAGAATATAATACATTTTACACATTATTGACTTTTTATTTAATAAATTTATTTTGAAAGTTGGACATGCTTATCTTTCATTTATAAATTATTTTTTAGGTTTAGTAAAAAGACTGATTGGGGAAAAAAACAGCCATACTTACAATGTATTCAATCTTTTATAGGAAGATCACCTATTGAGGCTCAAGGAGGACAGCTTGAAATAGCTGGAGTAGTAGTTGGACAATGGGGTCCAAACATGTCAGGGCGTAGAGGTCGAGGTAGCCAGCTGCCTCCTCAAGTCATGTCTGTTGGGCAGAGAGGAAGGTATTGGCATTAAGAATATTTTAAACATAAAGTTATTTAATATAAAAGGTTCCTATTCCATTGCCATCAAATGGCCACACCTGGACTTTGGTCTTTGTTATTAAAAATTAGTTAAATTTTATTTTAAAAATTAGTTTGATATTCAGCTTTGATAATTTCAAGAAGCACTATGATAGCTCTTCAGTTTATTGTTATATTTCCATAGAGGACTGTACAATGGCAGAGGTGGATTTCTACCTCCCAGGGGAGGACTAATTAGAGGTAGACTAGCATCTCCTCTATATAGTAGCAGAGGAACCTACAGACCAGCAGTAAGTAGAGCTGTCTTAGAGAACATAGTTATAAACTCTTTCTTCATAGCTCTGTTTACAATTACAGTTAAAGATTATCACTTTTTTTTATTGTCACGTTTTCCCTCTAAATTTTTGTTTAGGTGCTAAAACATAGGGTTCCCAGGCAGTCATGGAAGTCAGGAAATAGTTGGGAAGTCATTAAATAATTTTCCCTGTTGTGAGAGAGAGAGAGCTGTGAAAATGGTCATTCTAGTAAGGAAATTGTCCAGTAGTCTGGAATTTTTTATTTAAAAAAAAAAAAGAAAACAATTGGATTCCATGAAGAAATGGATGCTAATTGCTGACATCTTTATTTATATCATTTGCTAATAAAGATAGTATTTCTCTCATAAAGCCTTGTTTTCTTTAAATTAATTTAACAATTTTATAAATTTAAACCTCTAAATTTCTGATTGTATTTTTATAAGTGGCATAATTAATACAATGGATGGTATAATTGCTTGAAATTTTTATATATTCTGTAAAATGGATACCATTGTATTGATAGATCTAACAAAGATTTTAACTTAGGTCCAATACTTATTTTTTGCTTCTACCTGTTGGTGGTATGTATACATTTTTGTCAAAATTTATTACGCATCAAAACCTAATATTTTGGCCATAAATCAGTGCAAACATTAACTGATCAAATAATTGGTATGAAATATTAGATCTTCAATGAATCCAATGATATATAACATGTTATTATCATCATTCTTCATTGAACAACCAGCCCAATTGTAAAGGTACCTAATGAGGGAGGAACAATAGCTCTAGTTGAACAGATAGTTCTAGCTTGACACACAGCTAGCATAAATAAGTCAATGTGAAGGCTTAAATGACAGTAATAGTACCACCATTATGACATGGAATTATGGAATTGACATGGACATATTTAAAAAATCATAAATTGGCCTGGATAATTTTTTGCAAAATAATTATTTATAATTTCAAATCAAATCCACACTAAATTTGTGTTATTAGTTAGTATATAAGAAATTTACCAGGGGAGTGAAGAAAGAAAACAAATGTAATAATTTTTTTAAAAATTTAAAAATACAAGTAATTGGCAAAATATATTTAATTAGCTGCTGACATCTACATTATGGACCATACTTTGAAAAAAATAAATTTTATATAGCTGACACCCTGACCTGACCCATATTTGACAAAATAAGAGTGGGGGGGTTCCTTGAAATTTTGACAGTTGTTGACAAAGGGATGGGAGAGGTGAAAATTTGCCCCAAGAAAGATAATTTACATGATTTTCTATGATAGACTATCAGATTAAGGAAACTTGAAGAGCCTAGATAAAGTAACTCACGTGTTTAAAATTTTATTCACAGTACTATACCAGAGGCCGAGGCTCACCAGCAAAACGCCCAGTTCGAATCGTTGCTAGACCAGGAAGGGGAAGAACTGTGAAGTCATCATCCAAAGGACGAGGTGTAACTGTTGATGTTTCCTCTACGTAAGTTCTATATCTTTATAAAAGAAATACCTTTGCAGATTAAACTACGTTAGAATGGGCTTAAGAGTAAATACTACATAACTTGCTACCATTGTTACATTTGACATGTGCATGAAATTTTTTTTTTTATTATTCACTTTGTTATGAAATTAATTTCAAAATACTTTTTTGCTAGAGGTTTATAAATAATAATATTGATTAAAGTTGTATGTTTCGGACCCTTTACAATTATTTAAACACATTATTTTCTCATTAAACATACTTTTTCAATAATTTTTTCTTTGTCATAGGATGAGGTCAAAAAACAATGAGCAGGATTTTGATGAAGTTGATGAGGAAATAAATGGAGGATACAGTGGGGCTTCAGATGAGGAAGATGAAAATGGCACAGCTACAGTCAGTATCAAAGGTTAAAATGTTCTGTTTAAAAGAAATATTGGTCAGATTTGTACATTTATACTTTGTCAATAATGATGGATTATTATTAGGCAGGGATATTTTTTAATTATAAAAATCAGTCATTTGTTTTGCTTTTTTTACATATAGTATCAAGAAAATTTTCAGTATCCCTAAAAAATAATATCAAACTGTTTGGATATTTGAATAATTTCAACAAAAATATGTGGTTCTTTTTTTCTCATATTCAAGTTAAATTGCCTAATAACTGGGTAGGGCATTATTCAATTTAATTTAGATGTACATGTCATTAGAATTTGATAAATTTAAATGTTAAGGTACATGTGCGTGTATGAAAAGCTGAGAGAATTGAAATAATCCCATTGAGTTAAATGAAAATTGAAATGTTTTTTAAATTTTTTTTTGTACATTTTGTATTTAAAAATAATGTATGGAAAATATTTAAACATGTACAAAATAAATGGAAAAAAATTGTAAAAAAAAAAACTTTTGTTACAAATAGTTTCATGTACAAATGTGTCATTAATATTCTCTGTCAATTGGCCAAAACAGATATTATCCATTGTTGTGATTTAACCTCTTAGCTGAGTTTATAGTCAACACCATGATTATTACTGATTTTTTTAGGTTATTATTATATATATATTTTTTTAAATTGCAAAATATTTATTTAATTTTTGTTTAGCTAAGAAACATCACTGAAGCATATTTTTTTTTCTTTCAGCTTTGTGAAAAGTTGCATTTCTTTAAATTTTCATACTAAGGAGTGAAAAATCAATTATAAGAGTTACATTAATTTGCAGGCATTGAGGTGTTAAAATGCTTGGCTTTCATATAAAAAAACATTGTTTTCAGTATTTAAATGATAAATATGATGTATGTTTGTAATATATTGCCATCATGTTTTAATATTTCTTTGCTTATATGATTCAATATTCTCACCAGATCCATATTATTAATACTTTATTTTCTTCACTCAATGGGATTCTATCAATCCATTGTTAGTTTCATGTTATTCTTTTAAAAAATGTTGAACACCAAACTACCCCATTTGTATCTTATATTAAAAAATAGGGGATTTTAGAAAGTAGTTTTATTTAGTAAGACACAAACGTTAAAAAGGATACAACTGTTGGACCTCCTTTTTTAAGCTATCTTCTGTCAAAGAATCTCCAGTCTTACCAAAGTAGATATGAACCATTGGAGAGGAAAAGGTAGAAATAAATAATTTCAGCAAATTCTTGCATTGTGTCGCACATATAAAATCGTACAACGATCAAAAGTGTGACCTATGAACAGTAAAAAAAATAAAATATAATTTAATCACAACATATGAATATTATAAAATTTGAGGTCTTTCTTTTTTAAAAAAAGAAGCTTATCATTTATCTTGTTCCTGAGTTAAAGAACAAATTATGATTTGTATATTTAAAGCATAAATTATTTCCCTTAACAAATATGATGACTAGCTTTCTAAAAACATTTTAGTTTTATCCAAAAATAAAGTTGTATCCAAATTTATTAAGAACTGCAATTTTTTAAAATAAAATTGATCAGGTTATTTAATAACAGACTTGAGCTTGAGGTGAATATTCCTCAGATTCCTATAATATGAAGATCATTGTAAAAGTTTTCAAATGAGAAATATTTATTTAAGGTCTCTTTTGTAATTGTACAAAATAATAATTTTACTTAGTCTTCAATTTAAGAGGCGGTCTATTGGGGAACATGACCACCAATATTTTCCTTTTTGCTTTATGAATGTTCACACTATATATATTTTTGAATGAATTTTACAAAGAAATGTATTATTTGTACATTTCCTGATGATCTTTTTTGTACAAGCCTAATTGGATATTGGTATTTTAATTTGTGAATGCCTCTGCTTGCTTTGTGTGTGTACGAGCCATTGGCAAAGGCAAGAAAGTTGTTCATCAAGCTTCCATAACATGCATTAATTAATCCTGTTGTAACATCATAATTGTGCTTTTACCATTGTCTCGTACAAATGTGTGATGAGGTGTAAATTTCCAGCAAATTGAGTTAAAAGGAAGGATTAAGCTTAAACCTATTAACGTAGGTGGAGTATAAATATTTGTTGGAGTAATGTTTTAAACTTTTTTAAAAAATCGGAATGAATAATATAAGAAAAAGTCCACAGGGACTGACTTGTGAAGCAAAATAAAGTGGAGCGAGGACAAAATCTGGTGATTGTGATCAGTGTTTGTTTGAATTGCTCTTTTGGGGTTTAAGATTTCTCCCCACATCAAACTAATTGTTCAGAAAAATTTAAATTTTCTAGTATATGATTAAGATGATTTTTTTAAAAAATAATGCATTTTTTCTTTATAAGTTATCTAAATTTGAGTATTTGGTTATAAAATAAATGTTCTTACCTAAATCTGCCACCACTTTTTTTTCCAAGTCTAAGAATAGGTCACAGTTTTTTGATTAATCAACTTCCACTAAAGTTAAATTTTAATGTTAATCTTTATTATATATTTGAACATTGACTTTAGAATAAAATGACAAGCTACAAATCTAGCTCATACAAATTTAATTTATTTTTAAAAATAAATACGTTATTCTCTTAGTAATAGTAAAAGGAAGAATTCTATTTATAAATTAAAGCTGGAAAACTGTTTTGCAGAAATCAATATTTAATGCCACATAATTATATTAATCACTTTTGCAACATACTAGGCTCACACTTTATTTATATATAGGATTTCTCTATAAAGAAGTCATCGCCCAGATAGCAGATCCTGCTAATACTATCTTTAAAAAAAACAATCTGCAATGATGGGCTTAACCATTTTTTTTTTTTTTTTTTTGGTGTGGAATTGTATATATACATATTTTGCAGATTGCATTAAATTAAGTAGTAGTATGACAGAAAAATATTTGTCTTTTTTCAGTGAATAAGCTTATGAAATTTTGACTTTTACTACATTTCAAGAATGTACAGTAACACTGTACGTTATCTCTTAAAATTTATCAGACTTCAACTTTAATAAAAAGAGCAGTTGCACATGTGACATCACAGTAATTTTAACTAAAGTAGTTGTTTTTTGTAATAATTAAAAGTACTAAATAACGAATTAAACAATTTTGTTAACTTAAGTTGCACTGCAAAAAAATAAGGAAAAAAATGTATCATTTTGTTTCTTGATTGAAACTTTCATTTTTCAAATTTTTTTTCTTTTCAAAATGTTGTATTTTCTATTGGTGACACTAATATCCTCTTGACAAAGTAAATTTCAAAAATTAAAAAATTATTTTTGATTACACACTCCTCTTTTGAAAAAAAAAATGTTTTTTAACTCATATTAAAAAGGAATTGTCTTAACAGGTTTTTATAAAACTTTCATTCAGAATTTACATTAGACAAGGCTACCTGGATACTGTCACATATTTTAATTATAATTTAAAATTATGCAAAAGAAACTTGGTTTGTGTTTTCACTTATAGAAAGTCGAGCATACATATTTGAGAAATTTACCACATAACAGATAAAATCATATTATACATTTGAGTTAAACCCACATATTTTCAAATTGACTTTTTAAAAAAAATCAATCATCTGCATGTTATATATTTTTAGGAGCAAAAGCTCACACTTTAAAACAAAAAAGAGTGGGTTGGTTCTGTGAGAACCATTAAGCAACAAGATTTAGTGACGAAATTTTTTAAAATTAAATTGATTTTGAGTTTCTGCTTTATCCCCCATTTTCCTTTACAAGTAAATACTGCATGTTACAGTGTGAAATAGTTATTTTACATTTCATATATTTGCACTTTATTGTATAATTGATGTTTAATTAAGTCTTTTTAAAAACAATCTGATGAAATTCCTGATCATAGAAATTATGATGCCCAGTTAAGTTAGTGAACAATTTTTTAATAATTTTTTTTAAAAATTAACTAAAATTTGCTATGGATGAACATGAAAAAGAAATTACTCAGATATCCTTGTTTTAAAATATTTAAATCAAACTTGTGGAGCCAGGTTTTAAAGATTGCCTCTCTTTTGGGATTTTTACTTTATCTGTATCATACATTTTCTACCACTTATTTTACAGTGATTTTTTTTTTTTTACAGAATATATTAAACTCCTAGAAGTACTCTGTAACTTTAAAAAAAAGTAATTTGTCAATGGGTCATAAATTTGTGTTCAGGCTTTTCAGATACATTTAAAATATTTAAATTAGATACTATTGTGGAGATTTTAATGTTAACTTTTTATTTGTTTGCAATAACCTTCTGACTTTAAGCTTTTCAATTATAAATTGAGTCTTTGTGTGATGACCAATGCTTTTAGTAAAAAGAAATGGAGCTGTAAACACTAAATGACATCATGCACTGTGAGCTGAAAGAAGCAGTTTTTACTTTTTTAGTTCAGTAAATATTGATTCTTTCCCCTCCCTGTGGATGACAATGCTCAATGTTGGACACAATGGGATAGCTTAAGACAATTTTAAAGGGTTTAAATATCTTGTTTAAATATTAACTCTTGAAAGAATTGTCCTTTGATCAGACTTTTTTTGATAACCAACTGTGGGATAAAATATTTGTTACCATAAATTATTATGTGGTCTACAGTTGTCAGTTGCATAGTCTTAAAAGTAGGCAATCAATGATTTTAACCGACTCCAATCCTCTGTAAAAGTTTCATACCAATTAAGCTATAATCACAAGCTTTACCATCTGAAATGTAATCCTTAAAAATGTAATCATTTGTAGGAAAAACAATGAATAAGTTTAAGTACTTCAAGGGGGCAGGCTTATTCCATGAGGTCTACAAAAATTGATTTGCTTATTTTAATAGCATGACTAAACTTGTTGAAAATATAGTTATGTCCTGACACAGAATAAATTGCTTTGAACTTGAACACGATGAAGCTATTAGGAAGCTTATTGTCATTGTGGTTTATTTTTAAGCCTATCCTGTCACCACTGAGATGGATCCATCTTTGTTTACAGAGATTTTAGTGAATGTTAATCCATGTTCTCTGAGTGTTAATGGGATTCCTTGGTTTAAGAAAAAGGTTTTACAATGCTATAAAGAAACCTGAGGAAATAAATTTAATTCTTTCAAGGTATAACATGCTCAAATATTACTAAAATAACTAGACCACTATTTTATAAGACAGTTATAATACTATTACTAGCTGAAACTGCAATCACTGATTTTGGCATTTCTCTAGGGTTTTCTTGTATTTAAAGCAGGAAACCCTCAGTTGGCGGGAATGTGCGCTTATTAAGTATCATAAACATAATTGGTATAACATAGAATGTGAAGGGATAGCTTTATGTATTATACTCTTTGGAATTTTTCCATGTTTCTACAAATATTAGGTCCTTAAGAAATTGTTTATTTATTTTACCAAGAAATCATGATGCAATTGGATGTTATTTTGAAGATATTACATTTTTTTTTTTTTGCCAAGACTGATCTAAAAAGAAAAATTTTAATTCTGCATTCGGATTTTTCAAATTCCTGATTTATTAACACTTATTAACTTATTAATTCTTCTGATCAAATATATTTTAATATTATCCCTTTTTTTTCCCTATGAATTTTACTAGTAATTCTTATTCCTTTTTTATATATTCAATTTTTTTTACTTTGAAGTGCATTATTTCTGACCAATTTAGATTTCGGCATGGTATGATTTTAATAGGTAATAAGACCCACCACAACTGAGGGTTCGTTTCAAGTGAATTTTAAAATTCCGTGATGCATTTTTAGAGAAAGTATCTCAAACATAATTTGTTTGCAGAAGTAGTATTATTTTTCAAACTAAAGTAAACACTGTTAAAATTATTCTGTCCACATTGTACTGACAATTTTTTTCCTTGGCATGCGATACTTCCATTGTATTGTAGTCAATTATTTTAGATTCTGTGTCTTTAATTCTTGTAAAAACTGCAACAATAGTGTTTTACAACTAATAATAATTCTAAAGCTTGTCTCAGCTATGAGATGTTTTTAAAAAAGAACATGATGGAACATATATCTAGTTTCTTAT